AAGTTGAATAATAATAATCAAATATTTGATTTTAACGTGTAGCTAGATTCTAACTGAAAGTGAACATGGACAATTTGACAGGTTAACAGTTAAAGGTGTTAGATAGGGGTGAGGTGGTTGATGGGTGGTGTTCTACCCGTGTATGGATATTTAACAGCCTGGATGAAATTGACCTTATTACAAATAATTAACTATTTATCCATTTCGCACACATACTATCTCGATTACATTCAACGCCCATCCGTGTAGGGTTGAAATTTGAGGGGAGAGCCAAGTGGGTGTGCGATAGACTTACCTCCACGTGGTGCACCCTGGAAATATGCCTTCACTATCAACATCTTATTTGGAAGCGGAGGGGTGTGTGCGATAGACTTACCTCCACGTGGTGCACCCTGGACAGCGTGCGATAGACTTACCTCCACGTGGTGCACCCTGGGCAACTTTCAACCCTTGCTGGTTTTCTAAACAATTATTCTTAAGAATACGATAGACTTACCTCCACGTGGTGCACCCTGGACAACGTACTTTCAAATGGCAGGCGTTATGATAGGTATCATGGGGTGTGCAATAGACTTATAAACTTACCTCCACGTGGTGCAGCCTGGGCAACGTATACCCCTCCACGTGGTGCACCCTGGCCAACGTATAATCATACGGTAAAAAAGTCTATTATTCGGCAGTTGACTTCTGACTTCAAATTACCATGACTAGTCTATTAACTGGCAGTTGACTTCTGACTTCAAAATACCCTCACCCCACTGCTTGTCATATTCGACCGCTTTCACAGTACTCATCTTACCCTTTTCTCTGCCTTTGTGTCTGCCTCTTTTACATCTGTGAATCGCTCTTCTGTTCCCCACCCCTCGACTTTCTGCTACTTTAATGAACCTTCCCTCAGTGAAGCCCGAAGTCAATTAAAGGGCTAATGATAGCTATCAAAACGCCTGCCATTTGAAATAAATAAATATGTTTGAGCTTTCAATTTATAACTACCATTCCTAAAGTTCATTTCCATATTATTTCTAATTATAAACATTATCTGATTATGGCCACTTAAATTCTTCAATTTCTCTTTATAATGACTTCAATAGCATTGAATTTATTTTCGTGTTAAGATGAAAAACTCAGAAGGAAAAACGGAGTAGTAATATACTGCGTTCGGTTCCTAACTATCTGAATATCAGACAGTCAACTGAGCTTGACATGACAGTGTACCTCGAGTTGTATCAATATTTAAATAACGTAATTTACGTCTGTATTAACAAAATTTTCTGTTATTACACACAAATAATTGATTGCTGATTATTTCTACTTTAATCTATTTACTTATCAATTAGGAGCAGATTATTTACTATTTTTTGATTAATTTCAAATCAATAAATCTCAGCTTCAATGTAATAAATTGCAATATATTTATATAATGCCCAAATATCTCATTTCTTTCTTGATTAATGTCTGTGATATTCAGTTCTTGAGCCCGATTAAATTAGCCAAAGGAGAATACTTACTTATTGTAAATTCATGAATGACGAAATTGCCAGTTGCAGTTAACAAAGTGCTATATTTAAAGACAGGTTGAGTACGTAAGCTTAGAAGGTACAAAATTTCCGGTTTTCTTTAGCATAATTCTCTAACTGACAGCTCATTAACAAAGCGTATTGTTTCAAGGCCATTTATTTATTTATCTCAACTGGCAGACGTTTTTAATAGTTATCATTAGCCATTTAGCTGACTTCAGACTTCGCCGAGAGGAGGAGGAATGTCAAAGGGAAAAAAGTCGAGAATGGGGACAGAATAATGATACACAGGTGTGAAAGAGGCAGACAGAGACAAAGGCAGAGAAAAGGTAAGATGAGTACTGTGAAAGAGATCGAACATTACGTACAGTGGGATGATGGTAACTTGAAGTCAGGAGCCAACTGCCAGTTTATAGACTATTTTGTCGTATGAGTATATGTTGCCCAGTGTGCACTATGTGGAGGTAAGTCTATCGCACATTTTGTATCATTAATTTAAAATGTCATACAACCATCTACTAACTTGGAGGGACTGCGCAACTACAGTGTATGGCACATAAAATCACCAGGTTTATATATTTTTTCTTTATTCTAAGCGGCTTGTTGAAATATTAGAAAAAATAGGTTTACTTTCCATTCAGTCGGTAATAAATACGAGAAAAACGTTAAATAATTAAGCAACAATTTCAATTTGGGTAAGTAATGAAGAAACACCGCAAATGTTATTTGATTCACCTTTTCTTGAAAAAACTTTAACATATTATAAAATGAATATTGTGAGTGAAAACATTTTCTTAGATCAAAGCTCCCTACTTGATTGTAACATTCTATAACTATGTAAGCAGTTAACTTTATCTAATTAATAAAATTTACCAAAAGATAGTCTAGGGCTGTGGTATATGCCAGGGAGATATTTCTTAGAAAAGGAATTCAAAATATTCGTTTGTTAGTTATAAACACATTAATAATCGTGCACATATGTAAAGTCAAAAGTTACAAGTTTTATGAGTGCCATTGAACCACAGTATTTAAATTCGAGAAAGAAAGAATTCTAGCTCTTTAACATGGATTCTCGATGATAATTCTCCTCTCATTAAGCTGAGTGGCAGAAAAATGACTTCCGGTTAAAATTTCTAATGGCCCCCCTTTACAAGACTTTATAAACTATGACAGTCATTCCTGTGTCAAGCAGACAAAATTTCAGACAACTATTTCATCTGGGTTAAGCTTAACAGTTCCTTATTCAAATTTTAAAAGCCGATTCTATTAATTTTTACCTATTTTCTTGACTATCAATCCAGGGATGCGAATTTAACTTAGTTCGCTTAATTCCCAGTAATTTTCATTTCATATAAGACATACCTATTATTGCTATTTCAAGGCATTTTAGCCATAATTTTATTTAAAATAGTTGTTTTTGTATGCGTAATATGCTTTTAAAGCCCAATCAGTGGAAATATAAAATTTAATTCGATCGATATGTGAGAGATATGTTCATTTTGTTTCACTGATTTATCAATAGCAATAAATCGGGTAAAATACTGTCAATGAAGTTAGCTATCTTAGCTCTGATATATCAAGATTAATGTCAGGCACAAAGTACCACGTTAAATTATTCTGTACTTTCCGACCCTTTGGATGAAGAAAAATTATTTAAATTTTCGATTCAGGCAATTGGCCAATAAGCGTATGTTATCGTAGGTAGGAAATCGTTCGGTAATCAAGATGACAAACGGTAAAATGTATGTTCGGGAAGATCCAAATGCAATAGAACAAAGACAATTTTGATACTGTGTCTCCCTTCTCTCTATCTTGTCTACTCCCCCCCCTTGTCACTTATCGAACTTCGTACTAATCGATTTAAATTAATATTAATGACAACGAGCTTTCATTTTATGCCTTATTAGAAATTGATTTATAAAAAATTATGCCAAAATTAAAATACATTGATTTTATTTTTCATTTTTGAAAAAAATGTTAGTTTAATAAAAGACGACTTTTCACGAATTTAAGTAATACTCTGTCGCCGTCAAATTTTATTAGAAATTTTTGTTAGCTTTTTTTAAAGATAGATTAAATTTGCTTGAATTAATTTGTCTGTATCGAGATTATTATTCCTATTAATCACGATTTTAGAGCAAAAAATTTTAATAAGTGAATTTGCCATATTCTCAAAATATATAAAACAATGGGCAATTAGTTATGGTGGGTGCATGTCTTCTTTCCCTCTAAAAGGCCTTTGTGTGTAATTAGAGGCAATACAATTAAAATATAGTCATTTGAATAATTAATATGTGAATTACACCAATACCTTAGCTTTACACCTCCAAAATATTGCCAGGGGTTCTCCAACCATCTTCAGACACAACAACTCGCATTCAATTTCCCATACCCACGTTCAGGTCCTCATACAGTCCTTCAGCTATTTTAATGGCGTTTTTAATTAGGCAGTATCATTGCATTGGTTGAAAATATTTTACATTAATAATGCACTATAATCCCTTGAATGAATTTTAAAAAAAATAAGCTTGCAACTTTCCCTTGTAGAGCATTCAGTAGCACTGCATGGAGTAAAAGTAGTATGTAGTAGTTGGAGTTAAATTTATTTCTGCAGACAACAAATATAGCTTCACCCCTGAGCATCAAATGAATGGGGTGTCAGTAGTCGCAATGGCACTAAATGCCAATATTATTTATATCAAATGGCAGGCGTTTTGATAGTTATCATTAGCACTTTAGTTGACTTCACCCTTCACAGATGAAAGGAACATCAAAGAGAAAAAAGTCGAGGGGTGGGGGAGGAACAGAAGAGTGTATTAAAAATGTAAAAGAGACAGACATAAAGGTAGAAAAATGCTGAGGTGAGTACTGTGGAAGCAGTCGAATATGACATACAGTGGGGCGAGGGTAGTTTGAAGTCAGAAGTCAAATTCCAGTTTATAGACTTTTGCCGTATGAGTATACGTTGCCCAGGGTCCAATATAGAGGGTGGGATCATTATCCACCTCATCTTAATGCATTAACTGCACCATTTAACGCCCTGGGCCTCTCCGCCCCCACGCTAATTCAGATTATGCATGTTGGTCATGAGAAGAAGGGTTAAATTTACAAATTGAGCAAAAACATATGTGAACACCGAAGGTGACATCGAATTAATTAACGAAAATCTAATAATAAAATGGTGAAAATTGACTACCTGAACCAAGTATAGGCTGAAAATAAACCAGATATATGGAGAAAAACACTGCAGATTATGTAAGTTGACTACAAATTAAACGAAATTGGACAATTTACACAAAAATTATTTTAATTTGTACGAAATAGCAGCAAACTTTATAGGTCAAAGCCCACTGGTGTTCCATTGGCTAGCTGACTGTTTCAGGTCGCAATCCCATTGGTAGATGAATCAGTCGTCGTTCATAGGAAGCGTGACTAGGCAAACTATTAACAGATGAAATATGCCAGCAAGGTGAGCATTTCAGGATGACTGAAAATCAAAGTAAGAAGGGGGCGGCTCCATCCTACAAACAGGAGTTACTTCGCTTCTGCCAGACAACCACAATTCGTGGAGTTCCACGTATTGTCAATACGCCTAACAGGGGAATTCGTTCCATATGGCTCACTTTTGTCTTCATTTTGTTCATAGGCCTCTTTACATGCATGATCCTGCTTGCAAGGCAGTATTTTGATTACGATGTCATCCACCCACCTAGAGTTTTGCGTGATACACCCTCTCCATTTCCTTCAATTACCCTTTGCAATTTACGACCCATTTCACCAACTGGTTTTAAGCGAATTAATCAGCTCAGATTTCGTGATCCCAGAGCCTTTGCAAGAAATGTGAATAACTTTGCTGCTGGTCTCTACTACTATAGGAATCGATCTCATGACTATGAGATCATATCTAATGCTATCTCTATGGGTGGTTATTTGGAAAGCCTTCCGAAAGACTACTCGTACTCCCTCGGTCACATGAAAAATGAATCAATAATCCAATGTATGGTAAGTTGAATTTCGTTTGAGAAGTATTATTTAAAAAAAACACGTCACTGTTAATGTTGTGCTTGCAAGAATGTGAGTTTTGTATGTGCCCGGAGATTTCATCAATATTTTACAAATGAAAAAAACTTGTTTTTTTTCTTCTTCATATTTTACTTAGTTAGAAGACTCGAAAAGAAAGTGTGAATGATACGCAGTGGTTATCTTGAGTGAATGCCTTTGAGCCCTTTATGGTAAAATCTCATTAATTACAAAAAGAAACCGAGGCCAATTTCCCACTATAACAAATGTACTTTTCTTGGCATCATTTAAGCAATAACTGAATTATATAATCTCAGTTTTAAGAGTACATTTTCTCCCATTAGTCTTAATCTGCAAGATGTTAGCTCATTTTCAGCTAAGTAAGTAATAATATACACTTTGTGGAGAATCGCTCTGCCTACTGATAAAATTCAAGTTAATCGTTCCATTTGGAGGGGTCAAAATGATGACGCCATATCTAATTAGCCTTCACATTTACGAAATCACTTTAAATGCCATCCGGTAAGCTTTTAATAGTGCGTAAAAATAAAAATTTGCTTAGACTACACTATATCCAATTACTAATTTCCACTTAAAATGGCAAATGTGTTGAAATGTGTCAGTAATTATAAATCTCTCTCTCTCTCTCTTGCGAAAACATTTTTTTTCATTCCTCCTTATAATTAGGGCACAAAATATGCCCTGGATTAACTCCATTTTATTCTTGACTTTTGTTAAATTTCTTTTGCAAAACCCCCTCAAAACGCAATACTACTTGTACCCAGCTTGAATAGACGTAATCAGGTACTCACAAATCAGTTAGTTTAAGAGTCCAGTTTAATGTCAGGGCAGCGGCAATTCGCGAATTGACTCTTAGTTTAGATCATATGCTAATTATATTCAGAACTATTTGAAAGCTAGATTTGGTAGCACGTTCCAGCATTTCGCCTGCTTTAACTTGTCAACTCTTTCTACGACCATCGGAGCCAGGGAATTTGGCAAGTGCTCCTTGTCAACTTTCTTTTCTTGACTTTTGTGTTAAATTCCATGTTTATCTTTCATCACCTTTCACACTTTGAGATGTGTAGGCAATTTACTTCCATACTTGAATGCTTTTATCGAAATTACCAGGCCTGTTCCGATTTTTTTCAATCAGGAATCGATAAACTATTTTTCAAACCATTATTAGTGAAAAACCTAAGCACTATCCCTTGTATTCAATACAAGAAGACACAAAATTTATAGTCGTGCAAGGAACTGGAGAAGTGGGAAACATGTCAAAAAGAAAGTGGCATATTGACATTATGTCTTCAAGAATTTAACTTTAATTGAGTTAATTGAGTTTAACATCGAATAATCCACTTTCCTATAGGCTATAGTGCATTGTACTGTTGCTCACTTATCAGTAATTGAATCCCTCATACACTAATTTGGTTTTAATCATTATTCAAAATTCATTGGTTGGAACGTGCCACCTACGTATTTCAGCAAATCCAATTAGTTAAGACCTACAATCATTTTTACGCTAGCACAGACCACTTAAGGTGAGCTATCTTTCTCCTATCAGCCTACTTTTACTGAATACTTCTGGCTTATTCTATCAGGACCTCGATTTCTGTGGAATTTCCGTTGTACAAGCAAGACTATTCGACTCTAATTAGGATTTTCCACTTTGTGATTCGTTCGAATTTAACTTGTCTTAAAAATAACAATGAATCTGTCTATATTTAGCACGGCAGATAATGACGTGGCAACACTTAAATACTTCGATTTTGAGCCATAAATTTTATCCCTATTTGAGTGGCCACTCATGTCTCTTCAACACTTGAGAACTTGACGGTGTTACACTATGCCAAGTTCGGATTTGAAAGATCTCATAAAATTTTCCGGATTTTTCAAATATTGGTTTCTTTTCCAGTGGAAGGGATGTTTGCTCTTGATCCAATCAATTTTAAATTCGAATATTTGGGGCATATTTTTCACTTAACCGAAGCACTTGTTGGTTAATGAAATTGTGTGTTTCGTAAGAAACACTCGAGTTTTAATGGAAAAAATGTCAGAAAACGGCCGATGTACCACACCCACTACATGACTTTTTATCATATGGAAGTATATGAGCTCGACCCAAAAAAAATGAAAATGCAATATCGGCAAATCTGACGTATATAGAGCGAATGAGAATGAGATTTCTTTTATGTTCTACCTCTCTTTCCAATTTCAACTGTTCCCATAATAAGTTAACTTACATTTCTTTTGCTATTTCCATGGTTTCAAACAATTGGAAAATTGCTTAAACATTTAATTATTTCTTTCAAATGGCAGGCGTTTTGATAGGTAACATTAGCCATTTAGCTGACTTCGGGCTTCACAGAGGGAAGGTTCATCAAAGTAGCAGAAAGTGGAGGTGTGGGGAACAGAAGAGCGATTCACATATGTAAAAGAGATAGACAGACACAAAGGTAGAGAAAAAGTAAAGGTGAGTACTTTGAAAGTGTTGGAATATGGGATACAGTGGGGTGATGGTAGTTTGAAGTGAGAAGTCAACTGCCGGTTTATAGACTTTTTGCCGTGTGAGTATACGTTGCATAGGGTGCACCACGTGGAGGTACGTCTATCGCACACCCCAATTGCTCAAATATAGGTGCCCTA